GCCCCCTGGGCTCTTTATAAATATATATATATATTCTGTAAGTCACGCTGAGCCTGCCCTGGCAAGGAGAGTAGGATACAAATTAAATAAATAAATAAATAAATAAATTCCGTTGTGTTCTGAAAATGTATTATCTTATTTATTTGTTCATTTTTTAGCCCTCCCTCCGCACAAGCAGGCTCAGGGTGGGTTATGACATGGTTTTATTTTATTTTATTTTATTTTATTTATTCGATTTATACCCTGCCCTCCCCGCAGGCTCAGGGCGGCTTGCATAAAAAGTTAGAACACATAGAACAAAGCAGATATGAAACAATCATAATCCTAAAAGTGCTAGTGGCCGTGGCGATGGCAGTAGTAAAGCTGCATAGAGATGGCAGAGACATGATAACCGATCATGATGAAATAGTCGTTGTGGAATACGGTCAGTGTTGCTGTTCAGCTTATCTTAATCCATTTACGCCGGCAGGCACAGGCCGCTGGTGGCGATTCCAGGGGGACAGGGCCTTACCACAGTTCAGTTATTAGATGTGGCTCCTTGATTAAAGGCCTGGTGGTGGAAGAGCTCCGTCTTGCAAGCCCTGTGGAACTATAGAACGTCCTGCAGGGCCTTTTTTTAAAAAAATACTTGCCCACATGGGCAAAGTTTATTAGTTTTTTTGGATTACACAAAACAAAACAAAAAGAGCAATACAGGGCCTTGATGTCTTCTGGGAGCTCGTTCCACTAGCGCGGAGCCGCCACAGAAGGCCCTGGCCCTGGTTGTGGCCAGCCTGGCGTCTTTGGTTAAAACGTACAACATAATAAATATGATAATACCTTACTCTAAAGAACAACCTTTCTAAAAGATTGCTAAAATGGTGCTAAATATTCAATGGCGTCTGCTACATGATTAAATCCCATGGGATTCTAATTGTGGGTAACTGTAAGTGGTACAATACAACGCAATGGCGGGTAAGAAGATCAGCCATGATGGGGTATAGCCGAGCAGATCAGTACAAACAGAACAGAGCTGCGGAGGCCATTATTAGAAGAGAAGAAGAGAAGAGATGGGATTTAGACCCCGCCCTTCACTCGGAGTCTCAGAGCGGCTTACAAACTCCTTTCCCTTCCCCTCCCCACAACAGACACCCTGTGAGGTAGGTGGAGCTGAGAGAGCTCTTTTGAGGACTGCTCTTGAGAGAACAGCTCCTAAAGAACTTGTGAGTGACCCAAGGTCCCACCATCAGCTGTGTGTGGAGGAGTGGAGAATCAAACCCAGCTCTCCCAGATTATTGTCCGCGCACTTAATCACTACACCAAACTGGTCTCAGAGCAGCTTACAATCTTCTTCCCTCCCCCTCCCCACAACAGACACCCTGTGAGGTAGGTGGGGCTGAGAGAGCTCTTTCGAGGACTGCTCTTGAGAGAACAGCTCCGAAAGAACTTGTGATTGACCCAAGGTCACACCAGCAGCTGCACGTGGAGGAGTGGGGAATCAAACCCGGTTCTCCCAGATTAGAGTCCACGCACTTAACCACTACACCAAACTAGCACCAATCCAGGTGGGGGTTTGGTGTTTTGGCCAAAACGCTAGAGCTTTGCCATGCGACGTCCCTGGCATGATGATGTCACTCCCGCATGGTGTCATCATTCCAGTGATGTCGCATGTGGTGACGTCGCCCTGCCCCCCCCACTCCCCGCCAGCAGAACAATTGGACCTGGCTACCCATTAGAGATGAATTGCGGCTGCCTCAGCCATAGGCCTGGTGAGGAACATCTCCATTTTACAGGCCCTGTGGAATCGCATCAAATCCCGCAGTGCCTGGATCTCAACTGGGAGAGAGTTCCATCAGGTCGGCACCAGAGCTGAAAAAACTCTGGCTCTCCCTGAGGCCAGGTGTACATCCTTTGGGCCGGGGACGACCAGTAGAGGTTGATCCTATGAACGCAAGGCCCTTCAAGGGACATACCGAGGGAGACAGTCTTGCAGATATGTTGGTTCCCGTCCGCAGAGGGCTTTAAATGTTAAAACAAGAACCTTGAACTTGAACTGGACTCCCATTGGGAGCCAGTGCAGCTAATGCGGCACCAGATGTATAGGTGCGGTTAGTGATGTCCCCATAATGACATGCGCCGCTGCATTCTGGGCCAGCTGCAATTTCCAGGTCAGTCTCAAGGGCAGCCCTGTGTAGAGCGAGTTCCAGTTACCCAGTCAGGAGGTGACAGTTGCATATGGCACCCTATGGGAGATATGTTGTTCACGGGCATGACCATGGTGGTTTAGAGTGGAGAGCAGGGTTGCCAGTTTCCAGGTGGGGCCTGGAGATCTCTTGGAAAAGCAACCAATCTCCAAACTGTGGAGATCAGTTCCCTGGAGAAAATGGGTGCTTTGAAGAGCGGACCCTGTGACATTGTACCCCACTCCACTCCACAGATCTTCAGGAATTTCTGAACCCAGATCTGGCAACCCTAGTGAAGGGACAGTTCCAAGCCCCATGTTCCCTCTAAGCCGTGTAGTCTTGTGAGCAAAAACCCTACTTTGTGAATTACCGGCATTAAAGTTCTGAGTGAGCGATTTGGCTACTGCATCGATTAGTTTCCCCTGGAGCCCTCCTTCCTGAGCCAAGACAAAAATGTGTGAGCTGGAGGCTAAAAAACTGTGAGCTACCTCACACTCACTCAGCTTAGAGGGAACACTGACCCTCCCTTTATTTTTGTCTCTCCAAACAAACCGCTGGGCAGTTGTTAGGAGAGTCCCAGCTGAACAAGGAAGGAGTCAGGAAAAGTCTTCTAATGGCCCTTTCACACTCATTGAATGACACACTTTCAATCCACTTCTAATGCACTTTGCAACTGGTTTTTGGTTTAAGACGCTGAACTGCAGACTGGAAAGGTCGGTAGTTCGGCAGTTCGAGACCCGAGTGCCGTGTGATGGAGTGAGCTCCCGTCTCTGGCCCCAGCTCCTGCCAACCTAGCAGTCCGAAAGCAAGAAATTGCAAGTAGATAAATAGGTACCGGTTCAGTGGGAAGGTAACAGCATTCCATGCGCCTCAGCGTTTAGTCATGCCGGCCACATGACCACGGAGAAGTCTTCAGACAGCGCTGGCTCTTCGGCTTTGGAACGGAGATGAGCACCGCCCCCTAGAGTTGGATTCGACTGGCTTTCAAGCAAGGGAACCCTTTAACCCTGGTCCATGGGGTCGCAAAGAGTCGGACTCGACTGTGCGACTGAACAACAAAAAAAAAAAAGACAAAATCCACTTGCAAACAATTGCTAAGGTCCATTGAAATTGGATCGAAAGTGCATTATTCAATGCGTGTGAATGACTCCATATATAATCACTTCTTCTTTCTCAGTCTGTGGGCACCTTTGGCATTGTGAGAGTGGGAGGAGAGTGCAACCCCAGAATGGCTGCTGCAGGAGGTGGAGCCAGACAGAGTACTTCTCTTCTCATACTTCCTGTGAAGGTGGAAAGCCTGAAGGGGAAGTTGAACCACACACTAAGGAAAGCCTGGCTGCGCACCAGTCCTCCTGATACTCCAGGGGCCGCCTGTTATTATAGCCATGGCAACTCTTTTCATTTTAATGAGGGCACATAGGAGTGTGTGCTCGGTATAGATTGAGCTGAATAAATGCCTGAAAAACACCAGTTAATGTGTAGTGGTTAAGTGCGCGGACTCTAATCTGGGAGAACCGGGTTTGACTCCCCACTCCTCCACTCGCAGCTGCTGGTGTGACCTTGGGTCAGCTACAAGTTCTCTCGGAGCTGTTCTCTTGAGGACATCTCTCTCTCAGAGCTCTCTCAGCCCTACCTACCTCACAGAGTGTCTATTGTGGGGAGGGGAAGGGAGAGGAGTTTGTAAACTGCTCTGAGACGCCGAGTGAAGGGCGGGGGATAAATCCAATCTCCTCCTCCTCCTCTTCTTCTTCAGTATTTTTTTGGTATTTATTCAGCCAAATCAGATTTTCTAATCTGATTTGGTTACCGATCCATCTGAGCCCGAATAAAAGCCAATATTATTCGGCTTTTATTTGGGCTCAGCCGAAGTATGCCTTCCCTTCCATCCCTGAGTCGCTTGCAGCGGGGGCACGTATCTGAGTGAAGAGAAGGCATTTAAAGCCTTCCCTTTCTGAGGTGTGCCATGGTCTCTTTATATGCCTTCCCTTCCCTTTCTGAGGCATGCCACTGCATGACTCAGGGAGGGGAGGGAAGGTATGGAGCCAAATAAATTTGACAATACCAATTATTTCCCGAATCCCAATATTATACCAATATTGGGATTTGGGAATATTATTATATACCAATATTTTTCAGGTTTGGTATACCCGAACCTGAAAAATACTGATATTTTTTGTGTGTGTGCAGACCCCTTGCAGCCAGTAACAATCCCTGCTTCACAGTGGCCCCACCCACATTGTGAAAAGCACAGCAGGTGCTACTTTGAATTACTAGTGGGTGTCATGGTGCCCCTGGGCACCACATTGGGGAACGTTGAGCTCCTTTCCCCCTAAACTCCACCCTCTCCAGACTCTGCGTCCAAATGACCCAATCTGGAGATAGCAACCCTAATTAATATGGACTTGTGGTCATGGGTGAGGGAAGGCGATATAGGAACCTAGAATGAATTAAACCACCTGCTAATTTGGAGTCTTCATTAATTAATTTTTGACAATTGTTCTGCTCATCTCCCCTTTTAATGTGGGGCTTCTGCCGCTCCCTCTAAGCTGCGGAGCCCTTTGAGCAAAAAATTCTACTTTGTGAGCTACCGGCATTAAAGTTGTGAGCGAGCGATTTGCCTTCTGCATACATTAGTTTGCTCTGGAGCCCTCCTTCCTGAGCGAAGACAAAAAAATCTGTGAGCCGGAGACTAAAAAACTGTGAACTAGCTCTCACTCACTCAGCTTAGAGGGAACACTGGCCTCCTGTCTCTCCAGGGATCTGATCCACCCTTGCCCAGTTTCAGGCATGCTGCAGCATCTGGAACCTTTCCAAAGGGGGTTCTGTGGATCCATTCCATTAATGGGTGGCACTTCCCCACCCCATGCAAGGAGTCCTCCCCAGACACATCCTGGATGGGAAGGGAAAACTCAGCATTTGCAGGATCCAACTGAAAGTCTGGGATCTCTCTTCAGGTCCCTTTTCACAGACTCCTTCCCTTTCAGGCCGAAACTCGTCTCCCTCGACTTGAGTTACAACAATTTTACGGACTTGCTGAGCCTCCTCTCCAAGCTCGGGACACTGAAGAAGCTCCGTGTCCTCATCCTGGAGGGCAACCCCCTGGCTCTGATGCCCGGCTACCGCGGCTTCACCATAGACAGCCTGCCCAAACTCTGCGCCCTGGATGATGGCAACATCACCCCCGATGAAAGGCACTCCTTCTTGAGCATCTCCTGCAATCCAGGTGGGGCTGCTGTGTTTGGAGAATCTCCTGCAATGGCGGATCGTGAAGTGGTCTGCAGGTAGTGCTCCCTGCTGTTGTCCTGGAGACCAGAGCAAAAGCAGGGGAAAGACTCCAAGGGGAGAACTGAAAGTTGACTTTGTAGCCCTTTAAACCTCTCCACCATTTTTGGTATAGCCGAAGATACTCTTAAAAAGCCTAAACAAATTCGGCTTTGTTTAGGATCAGCTATACCAGTAGCCGGTCATATTCTCTGATCTGTAATCGGCTTAAAAATACTATTTTGGGGGGTATTTTTTCGGCTCTGATTCAGGCAAATGCACACCCCTAGTGGATAGCAGCAAATTGACATGCAGAGCAAAAGGTGGGAAAGAGCCCAAGAGGAGAACTGAAAGTTAACTTTGTAGCCCTTTAAACCTCTCCACCACCAACTATTTGGCATACTCTAAAAAAGCCTAAAAACATTCGGCTTTGTTTAGGATCGACTGTACCAGTAGCCGGTCAGATTCTCTGATTTGTAATCAGCTGGAAAATACTATTTTGGGATGGGAGGTTTGCTCTAATAAAGGCAAATGCACACCCCCTAGTGGATAGCAGCAAATTGACGATACAGAGCCGTGTTCGCTTGAGCACCAGTGAAGAAACTGAAAAAGGAAAGGCCAACTTTGCAAGGCACTTGTGACCTCTTGTGGTCAAACATTGCAGGTCCTCTTGTTAATGGATTATCATAGTTTCTGGATCAGTCTCTTGGATTAAAGGCCTGCCGGGAGACTTAAGGCACCAAGACATTTTTATTCTAGCCAAGGGGCTGTTTGTTAGCAGAGTGTATCCACAGGATACAACCATCCCTTTTCACACCACGTTCTCTTTCCTTGTGCCAAACTTTTCCCCTTAAAAGAAGAAGAAGAAGGAGATTGGATTTATACCCCACCCTTCACTTGGAGTCTCAGAGCGGCTTACAAACTCCTTTCCCTTCCCCTCCCCACAACAGACACCCTGGGAGGTGGGTGGGGCTGAGAGAACTCTGACACAAACTGCTCTTTTTCAAGGACAGCTGTGCCAGAGCTTGTGACTGACCCAAGGTCACATCAGCAGGTGCAAGTGGAGGAGTGGGGAATCACACCCGGTTCTCCCAGATTAGAGTCTGCGCACTTAACCACTACACCAAACTGGCTCTGTTTAAAGGGATGCTATGTTTAATGTTTTGGCATCTCTTGTGTATGAATGATGAAAAAGCAAGAAAGAAATGGGGGTAACGAAATTATTATCATTATTATTTGATGTATTCATCGCCCTATCCGAGCTATGCTGGGCTCTGGGCGATGTACAAGAGAGGCATCATGCCATAGAACAAAATACAAATTTAAAAATCCAATACAGTAAATAAGAATAAAACCAGAATAAAATCCCAGGTGGTGATTTAGAGTTTTCCATTCCCTTTCTGGACTACTTGGCTATATGGTGGTGATGGGGGCATAGAAACTTAACAAAATATACGTACAGGAAAGAGAGGGGAAGGGGGGGAAGGGTGCCAGCCAGTATAACCAACCCTCGCTGTCTTCAGCCAGAAGCCTGGCAGAACATCTCTGTTTTACAGGCCCTGCGGAGTTGCACAAGGTCCCGCAGGGCTCTGGTGTCATTTGGCTGTCAGACGTCCCCAGCATTCAATGAAGTACACACTTGTAGAAAAGGTTTTACTTTATTTGAAAGCTAAAGATGCATAACAGGATCGCTGTTCAGAATGAGGGGAAATGATAGAACATGACAGGTTATAGTAAATTCAAACTACTGAGGCCCAATTGCGGGAGTTCCTGTGCGCGCCATTGAGCCTGGGAGCAAACGCTTCGAGACAACTTATGATATCTCTTTCTCACTCTGTTTCGTGAGATCCTCCCAACAATTAGCAAGCAGCAACCACCTGTGGCCTTGGGAGATATAAACGTTTCTGCAGGCAAAGCAATCAAGCGAATCAACAGTTGTCCATCTGAAAGTGAAAGTAGACAAGTGCATACAGACAGAGGAAAATGTAACATTGGCACCGTGCTGACATAGGCAGGGAGTTCCACCAGGTCGGGGCCAGGCCTGAAAAGGCCGTGACCCCAGTCGAGGACAGCCAGACATTATCGGGGCCAGGGATCACCAGTAAGTTATTATCAGTGGAGTGCAAAGCTCTTCCAGGGACATAGCAGAGAAGGCAGTCCCGCAGGTATGTTGGTCCCAGATCGCTCAGGGCCTTAAAGGTCAATAGCAAAACCTTGAACCTGACCTGGTACTCTACTGGAAGCCAGTGTAGCTGGTGCAAAAAGTGCAAAAGGGCATCTCCGCCCCTCCCTAACGCAAACAGGTTTGCTCCTTTCTGTGCCCTTTTTGTAGCACTACTGCAGGAGGACGTCGAAGTCATTGTCACAATTGGCAAGGTCCGAGGAATTCCCAATCCTGCAGGCTCCGAGGATCCAGAAAGTACCCCCGAGTCTCCTGTGGTCACCTACAGCTACTACGTGACATATGAGTTTGCCAAAGGCGAAAAAATCAGTGATGGGGACAACACCAAGGTATGTTTTTGAAAGGCTGACTTTTTTTTTGGTCATCTTATGGGCATGGAACAGCAGTTACTGGGGAGTGTAGGGGGGTATTTCTGGATTTCCTGCATTGCGCAGGGGGTTGGACTAGATGACTCTGGAGGTCCCTTCCAGCTCTATGATTCTATGACATAATCCTTGAGAAATATTAAGGAAAGCCACTGAGAATAATAGTTCCCTTTTATTGTACGTAGGAAAAGAGCCAATTTTTAAATGAACCTTCACACATCCTACGTTCATTTTCCAGACATTACAACTTAGTTTATTGACCTCCTGACTCAACAGAGAATTTCAGATGCTATAGAACTGTACATTATTCTTGCTGTTTGCATGTCACAGGCATTCATGTGAGCTTTATAATGACGATAATGTTGTTAACTCTTTAGTTTTCTTTCCCGTTGTTGATTCAAGTCCAGTAGCGCCTTAGATGCCTGACGAAGGGAGCGTTGACACACAAAAGGCTCATACCTGGAAAGTCTTAGAATCACAGAATCATAGAGTTGGAAGGGAGCTCCAGGGTCATCTAGTCCAACCCCCGGCACAAGGCAGGAAATTCAGAAATACCTAAGCAGCAATTTATTTCCTCTGAGTGGTCCCAATTTGATAAATGGATTTGATTTATTGTTGGCCTGGAGTTGATATTTATTTTGAATTGCATACTTTTTCTTTCTGTCAGCAAGCCACATTACAAGTAAAACAGCAAAAAATACTCTTCAATTGAAAACTGCTTTACTTATACTACATCTATATTCAAAAAAATACAGTGTATTTCAAGTTTACACTATATAACATGTTTATTGTCAACTGTTTGCAGATTACTCAAGAGCGTAAGCATTATTCATTTTTCTGTTACAGACATTAGAGTTAATGTAACTCAGTGTACTATGTTATGATTATTATGTTAAGAACACTGTTTAAAACAATAAAAAACTTTAAATTTTTTTAAAAATACCTCCCTCTCCACACCCCCAGTGACGCCTGTTCCAGGGCCAGAAGATGGCAAAAAACCCTCCAGGATTGCTTCCTGACCCCATAGTGGCGATAAGCATGTTTTGGGGCATGTAAGAAAGGGCCCCGAGAACTAAGCACTGAGGCAACCCTTCCTGCCCTCCCTCTCGTGATCTGCCTGAGTTCACAGGATCCTCATTGCTGTCAGATGGCCCATCTAGCCTCTGCTTGGAAACCTCCTCCCAAGAAGGAGAGCCCACCGCCTCCCCAGGAAGCCTGTTCCACTGAGGAACCGCGCTGTCAGGAAGTTCTTCCTCAGGTTTAGCCGAAAACTCTTCTGATTTACTCTCAACCCCTTGGTTCTGGTCCGACCTTCTGGGGCAACAGAAAACAACCCCTCGCCGTCCCCGAGTTGTGTCCGGTTGCCTTTTAAATGGTTTACAGAATGTTAAACTATACTTTAGTAAAAATTTAAAAATCCTCCCTGCCCCGAACCTATTTATCAAAGATGGGCCCAGCTTTTAAAGTGAATAAACCTTTTCCCCTTTAATCTCAGCATTGCCAAATACGCATCCTCGTCTCCCACCCTCTGGCTGGACGAGACTAAGGACGGCGGTCTCACTTCTGAATATCCTCATTGCCTTGTCGTGTCATTTGTGATGACAGCATTTGGGGTAGCGAGTGGACAGTGGTGCCAGATGTTTTTCTGTCCCAGGTCACGGCGTCCCAAAATCCAGTATCTATTGTGCCGGACACAGGAAGCCCACCGGCAGGGCCAGAAGCAGCAGGGGACAGTGGGGTCCCGGCTCTGGATGCGCCCACTAAGTTGGACCCGCCTTCTGAAATGGGTAAGTAACCCCTGCCAGAGGAGAGTGAGAGATTATATGCGGTAGTGGGAACTTGTGGTCTCCAGGTGTACAAGAAGAAGAAGAGGAAGAAGAGATGGGATCTATATCCTGCCCTTCACTACCCAAAGGTGTCTCAGAGCGGCTTACAAACTCCTTTCCCTTCCCCTCCCCACAACAGACACCCTGTGAGGTGGGTGGGGCTGAGAGAGCTCAGACAGAAACTGCTCTTTTTCAAGAACAGCTCTTATCAGAACTACGGCTTGCCCAAGGTCATCCAGCAGCTGCAAGTGGAGGAGTGGGGAATCAAACCCGGTTCTCCCAGATTAGAGTCTGCGCACTTAGCCACTACACCAACCTGGCTTTCTGGTACAAGACAGAGACTTGATAGAATCCTGAGAACCCAAGCTGTGCCTTCACGCACACTAAATAACACACTTTCAATCCACATTCAGTGCACTTTGCAGCTGGATTTTACTGTGTGAAATGGCAAGATCCATTTGCAAATGGTTGCTGAAGCGGATTGAATCTGCATCACTTAGCACCTGTGAAAGCGTCTTTGCAGTTGCACAGATGAATCTGAGCATGTGATGGTAGGAATTCCCCGTGCCCTCCAGTGACTTCTGATTTGGATCTTCTGACTTTCTCCACAAAGGCCATGGGTGGGTTGAAGTTTTTTAAGAAGAAGAAGAAGAGATTGGATTTATACCCCGCCCTTCACTACCCAAAGGAGTCTCAGAGCGACTTACAAACTCCTCTCCCTTCCCCTCCCCACAACAGACACCCTGTGAGGTAGGTGGGGCTGAGAAAGCACTGACATAAACTGCTCTTTTTCAAGAACAACTGTGCCAGAACTATGGCTTGCCCAAGTGGAGGAGTGGGAAATCAAACCTGGCTCTCCCAGATTAGAGTCCGCGCACTTAACCACTACGCAAAACTGCCACTGCAAGGTTGAGGCGTGCCATAAATATACCCACCCACCCACCCATTACAAAGTTAGTATCTTTGCAAAAGGAAGAGTTATTCTTCTTGCTAAAAGGCAAAACGGAGTGCTCTCTTGCAAATGGTTTCTTCTATCCATACCAGCTCTGTCCATGGCGTTGGGTCCTGTGGATCAGTTCCGCAACTGGAGGTGCGTTCCCCTAGCCCTTGGGGCCTTCCCACCTGGTGCTGAGGGAAGATGCTACCGTTTGCAGAATGGAACCTCTAGGACAGGGGTGTCGAAGTCATTTGTTATGAGGGCCAGATCTGGCATAAGTGAGACCTTGTTGGGCCAGGCCATGTGTGTCATAAAATGTAACGCCAGGCAGCGGAGATATAAACTTTATAAAGGGCACAAACAGAACGACTTTTTAAACTTAAAAACATGCTTAAAACAGTAGCACTCTTGCAATATTTTATTTATTTATCAGTATCTGATAACCGACACCTCTTGCTCTCAATTATTGCATCAAAATGTCTGTGCTGCAGCAATCTTGAGTATGCTGTTCAAGTGTGTCTCTGTAAGCTGCAAGCCTACTTTTGATTTATTGACATTCACCACAGAAATCTCACGCACAGAGTTCTGAGTCTAGGGCCCAGGTTAAAACATGAAATGGCTGAGCGATTGAGAGAGTCTGGCGAAGCAAGCGATGATGCAGCAGCAGCAGCAGAACCGGAAGGAGGAGATGGCCAGTTCCACTGCGGGCCTGATAGAAGCCCTCCGGGGGCCTGATCTGGCCCCCGGGCCACATGTTTGACATCCATGCTCTAGAATCTGTGGTTCTGAGATTAGGCAGGTGGTGCCCAGGAGAGGGCTTTCTCAGTCATGGCGCCGACGCTCTGGAACTCACTCCCTAGGGATATTCATCTGTCCCTTTCTGTTACTGTCTTCTGCCAGTGGCCTCTGTTTTGTTTTTTGTTCTGTTTGGCATCTCTTCAATGATCCCTCCTTCCTGCATGCTTCTCTTGAGCTTCACCCAAAACTCTGGTCTAACCATAGAGTTCTGGTTGAATCCTAGCCTGTCGCCCTCAACACAATGGTTGAGGTTGTGCTGGGACAGGTGAGGCATACATGGGTTAAATAAGTAAGCCCAAAGTGGCAATGTTTGGCTTTGAAAGGTGTTGGGGAGGCCTAATAGATGTCTTCCTCTATGACTCGGAGGAAGTTTTAAATCGGAGTCCTGTAGCACCTTAGAGACCCACAAGAGCTTCAGGGTGTACGTTCTCGAAGGTGCTATGGGACTCCTATCTGTTCTACGGCAGACCAGCGTGGCTGCGCTCTCAAACGGCGTTCTGAGAAAGTGAGCCCTGACCCACAAAAACTCATGTGGAAACGACTTTTGCGAGTCTTTGAGGTGCTGCTAGACTCCTGTGCAATTTTGTGAGCTGCCGTTGCTTCTTAGGTGGCGTGTTCTCAACAATCTAGGTCACGGAGGGATCCGTTAGCATGGCCACGTCGATTAATAATTGACAAGGGATATTGTTCTCCTGGGGGAGTCATCTGATCTTACACCGGGGGCTGTTGCCGGAATGTAGCATGTTGCGTTAGAAATCAGAACGGAGACCTGACCACCTTACTGGGGCGTGGCTGGAGGTCCACCTATCTGGTTTGATAGAAAGCCTCTGCGACGCTGTGGCGCTGCTGGGGTTGCCAACTCCAAGTTGGGAAATTCCTGGAGATCTGCAGGTAGACCCTGAGAAGCAGGCCTGTAGCTATGGTGGGACTTTTGGGGGCATGGCCCCCTTTCTTAAAGGCACAGCCCCACAAGACTTTATCCTGTAAATGCTTTTTTTCAACCATTTTTAAACATTTTTAAAGGCAGGCACTCCTTTAAGCAGGGTAACATGCTGTAGTTGACTAGTTCCCACAATGAGCAAGGGGGTTGGAGTAGGTGACCTCTAAGATCCCTTCTAACTCCAGGTCAAAAAACTGGTCTCCTTTAAGAGAGTCTTTCTGCCTAAGTGCTAGCTTTCTCAGAAGTCCTCACCCCCACCTTCCGGCTTACCAGAATTGGTGTGCCATATGCGGCCATGTGTATAGAAACAAACCAAAGACTCCTTGAAACTAGAGTATGGATTATTGCCATTAAATTTTGGTTACACCTGCTTTTTAAAAGAGACAACAATGGTCTTATTGCTCATATGTTAACAGAGTCCCAGTCTTCTACGTGGCTTTGTCATATAGAAGAAAAAATAAATTCAATTGGGCTTAACATTGGAGACTTATCTCTATACAAAGAAAAGTCAGCTTTTAGGCTGATCAGGCAAAGACTGGTTGACATTGAGAGGCAGGTTCTTGAGAGCCGTGCAAAAAGTAGATGCTCACCCCTCAATTGGGGGCTTTTACCTTTTGGGCACAGGGCTGAGTAACTAACTTGTTTAACGAACCTAGGGCAACACAGAGCATATATGTTAGCAAGGTTTAATGTGTTGCCATCAGCAGTATTATATGGGAGATTCCAAAAAATCCCATTCGACAGCAGATTGTGTTCCTGCACTAAGCGGGAGATAGAAGCTCTTGAACATGTGATTCTTTCATGTCCTTTCTACTTGGACCTGCGCCTTACATTCATTGAGCCATGGCTGAGAAAGTATTCAGGGAAACCCGACAACCCAGAATCATGTAATAATTGAAACTGTTGCAAAATTTCTGTATGAAGCTTCAAGAAGGCATTCAGTATTCTTTGCAAACTGAGTCATCTGTTCTGTATGCTATGCCAATAAAGGTCGATTGATTGATTGATTGATTACCAGAGTTGTTGCTCAGGCTGGCAGAAATGATTAACTTGCAGCAACTGAGAACTGTTATCTAAAGGGGTTGGCAGCTTGCAATTTAGAGATCTATCCCGGTAACAGCCTTCTATTGGCTAAATGAGAAATTCTACTGGCTCAATGAGAAATGAGAACTTCAGCCCCACCAGAAAAAAAATTTGCCCCACAAGCCACAAAGTCCTGGCTACGGGCCTGCTGAGAAGGCCAGGTTTGGGGATGGGAGGGGCCTCAGCCAGGTATAATGCCACAAAGTGTGATCACTGTAGCTGCCATTTTCTCCAGTCTCTGTAGTCTTGAGGTCAAATGTCATTCTGGGAGATCTCCAGGCCTCACCTGGAGGTTGGTAACCCTAGGCTTTGATCAGCCCTCGGTCTTCCTGGAGGTCACATTTGACAAGCAAGCAGCAGAAGCACCCAGCTGGATCTGACCAGTGGTCCATCCAGTCCGGTATCCTGTTTCCCACCACAGCTGATCCCCGGAAAACCCACAAAAGCCGGGTACAGAGGCCAAAGCCTTCCCCTGCTGCTGTCTCCTAGCAACAGGTACACTGCCTCTGAACATAGAGGTTCCATCTCGACACCAAGGCTGACAGACATTTCGACCAGCATTATCTGGTTTGGCCCTTAATATCCCCACAGCTTCCCATGTACAGCCACAGAAAGACTATGTATCACACACAGCCATTTTGAATATGTCGCCAAACAGGAAAGGTCACACTCAGTTCTTTTCTCGTCTGTTCTAAAAAATGTTTTGTTCTAGAGGTGTACTTTTCTTAAATCTTATTTCTCCCCTGTCTCTCTGTCTTAGCGAATGTTTACTCCACGCTTCGCAAACCCTGGGCCGAGACCATCGAGTACGAATACAGAAAGGAACACGTCACCAAAGACCTGGTCGCTTTGAAGGCCTATCTTCTTGCTGGAACCACCGTGGCAGTTGTGGAAGAAAAGGTCATTTATCCTGTCATGTAGGGTGGCCATTTTGCAGGTGTGCCTGGAATTCTCCCAAAATGGCCGCTGATCTCTAGATCAAGGAGATCAATTCCTCTGCAATAAGCATAGAGTCTAGGAGAAATACAATTCCTAGAGTGGCTGCAGAGAGTTGACGCTCTAGGACTTTCATTTCTCCTATGGTATACCATAAAGACTAGGGGGTCCTAGAACATATGCTTGGCATGCAGAAGGTCCTAGGTTCAATTCCCGGCATCTCCAGTTAAAAGGATCAGGAAATGGCAGGTGATGTAAAAGACCTTAGCCTGAGATCCCGGAGAGCCACTGCCATTCGGAGTAGACAGTACTGACCTTGATGGATCATGAGTGTGATTCAGTGGAAGGTAGCTTCATTTGTTCGTGTGACTTTGGGGTGAAGAATGTTTAGATTTTCCAGTGTTGCAAATACGCAACAACACGAAACACTTTTCTCTGTGTTCTTAAATTCCAGCATAGCCAACAAGACTCTGGCCTTTTCACAGACTTGCGATTCTCTCTTTCTTTCCACCAGATCGTCTCCTGGCCTGTCATTGTTACTCCGGTCGAGACGCCCAGCAAGAAAGGGAAGGGGAAAGCTGAGAAAGGGAAACCGGAAAAGGGGAAGAAGGAGAAAGGGAAAGAAGAGAAGGGCAAAGTGGAGAAGGGGAAGGCGAAAGACGGCGGGAAGGTGAGGCTGGACCTTGGGACGAAGTGCCCACCATGTAAGGGAGCCCAGCTAAAATGGAAGCCACATTATTTTTGCATGATGCATTATTGGGATATTTGGTTAATACAGCAGAGTTTTGCCCTGTGATAGAAACATGATACTGAGTGCAGTCAATAAATCTCCCAAAAGTATATTGCAAAAAAAAAAAAGGTAGACTTACATTTATTCAAGTAGATCCTCAGTTCACATTCAGGTTGCAGTCGAAAGGAGAGAGAGAAGCCCAATCGAAAGAGGACTTTCCCTGTCACAAATGGCCAGCTTGTCCGGCATCATGTGTGTGGGAGTAAGAGGGCGCTGTCTCTACCGGAAAGGCCTGCAGAGACATGTGTCTCCATGGAAAGCCATGTGAAGAAAGGGAGAGGACAAAGTGAGAGAGAGAGGAGGGATCAGAGAGCAGCTCCCAGGTTAAGACAAAGAGAGGCATCCCATTCAAGGAGATAACACCTAGACACGTTTGGAGTGACTGTCACGCCCCCTCACTTCCAGGCATGCTGAGCCGCTCACTCCAACAAACATGATGCTTGTATACATCCGCCTGTAGGTGGGCAGAGAGGGACAGCCGTTGTCACTGTGTGCTGTAGGTCCCGTACTTGCAAAAGAAAATATTTTTATGGGGTTAATAGGTGTGTTGTTTAATTCTTTGGTGCTAGCGGTGTACATGGAGGTATTAATAAGTCTATGTTAGCATCCTACAGTAGCAGAGCCTCTGCTTGGCATACAGAAGTCCCAGGTTCAGTCGCCAGTATCTCTATTTGAAAGGGTCAGGCAGGAGGTGATGGGAAAGACCTCTGTCTTTGACCCTGGAGAGCTGCTGCCAGTCTGAGTAGACAATCCTGCCCTCGATGGACTGATGATCGGATTCAGAATAAGGGAGCTTCATGTGTGTTCGGTGTCTTGCACTGGTCATAATGGGGGTCTTTCACATGGAGGTTATCCCACAGTTTCGATTCGGAACTGGAGTTTCCCCCCCTCTAAACGTTCTCATTGCCCATTGTCTTTATGTGGTTTCCTCGTCATTTCTCCAAGCTTTCTCAGACCATCTTTCACCTGCTTTTGAGAAGGCACAGAGGAACAGTGAGGAACCCATGGAAAGACAGCCAATGAAAGACATGTTGGGCTATCTATCTATCTATCTATCTATCTATCTATCTATCTATCTATCTATCCATCCTTATACTAATAGCGAAAGGCGCCCCCTGCGTGCGGATACCTAAATCCGCGCATCGGGGGCACCTGGGAGGGGGAGGGAGATTTTTGTGCACACTTGGTACGGTCCCCAGGTGTGCACAAAAATCTTAAAATATCGGGGGGATACTTAAATCCCCCCAAAAGTAACAGAGCATCCCCTGCGCCTGCGCAGGGAACGCTCTGCGAACTCCCTCGCCGCCGCCACTTGGGGGGGGGGAGAGAGCAGCGAGGCCGGGGGGCCTCGCTTCGGAGCCGGGGGGGCCTCGCTTCGGAGCCGGGGGGCGGGGGAAAAGAGCAGCGAGGCCTCGCTTCAAAGCCAGGGGGGAGGGAAGGGGGGGAGATTGAGCGGGGTGTGTGGAGGCGACGGGGGAGGAACCGGCGAAATGGGGGGGAACTTACCTCCTCCTCCTGCTTCCTCCTCTGCCTCCTGTGTGGAGGTCCCTCCCCCCCGCAAGTATCGCGGGTCCCGCCCCCTTGTCTCTATCTATCTATCTATCTCTATCTATCTATCTTCTATCATCTATCTATCTATCATCTATCTATCTATCTATCTATCATCTATCTATCTATCTATCTATCTATCTATCTATCTATCTATCTATCATCTATCTATCTAATTTGCCTTGGAAGCATAGAAGCTAGTGTCCCCAATCCTCCACATTTCCTGGTTAAGGGGAAAATGCTGTTCAAACAAATGACGAAGATGACCTGACTCCAATGGTAACAAGAGAAAGAAATTTTACTTACAAAAATAGAAGCACATCTTACATGACATATTCATGTAGGTACATTTAACTTACTGTGACCTTCAAAAAGGTTAACTTGCTATAACTCCAAGCCCATGCAAGAGAGAGCAGAAGAGAGGTCCGATATAAGATGAAACGGAAGGCAAGCAAAGTCCAGAGAGGCTCAACATCTAACCCATGAGAGGAGGGTGGGGCCAACTGCTAAGTGTACCCGAATGAGAGGCTTCTCTTAACCCTTTCCCTCCCAGATCGTCTTGCATGCAGAGTTACACTATCCAACATGACAATCAGTGCTCCCTCTAAGCTGTGGAGTCTTGTGAGCAAAAATTCTACTTTGTGAGCCACTGGCATTAAAGAAGAAGAAGAGATTAGATTTATACCTCGCCCTTCACTACCCGAAGGAGTCTCAGAGTGGCTTACAAACTCCTTCCCCTTCCCCTCCCCACAACAGACACCCTGTGAGGTAGATGGGGCTGAGAGAGCTCTTGACAGAAACTGTTCTCTTTCGAGAGCAGCTGTGCCAGAACCACGGCTTGCCCAAGGTCATCCAGTCAGGTGCAACTGGAGGAGTGGGGAATCAAACCCGGTTCTCCCAGATTAGAGTCCCCGCACCTAACCACTACACCAAACTGGCTCTCTTAAAGTTGTGTGAGCCAGCGATTTGGCAGTTTGCTCTGGAGCGAACTTCCTGGGCGAAGGCAGAAATGTGTGAGCAAGAGGCTAAAAAACTGTGTGCTAGCTCACACTTAGCTCAGAGGGAATACTGATGACAATGTTGTGAGGAAGCTCAGAGAAAAACTGCACCCAAGCAGTGGGAGAAGCTTCATATGGAAGACCACAGTCTAGCTAGACGTGACAGGGCAGCATCACACAGTGCCATTTCACCTGGTCTCTGCCCCCCTCCGCCTCATGCCAGTTGCCGGCACTGGGCCGTCCACCCTACCTTTGAGGAGACAATCCAAGTTTAAAATAAGTCCCAACAAGGAGCTGTGGGAATCAACCCTGAGCTGGGGAAGCAGAGCAGTCCCCTTATCTGCACAGGCAGCAAACCTCCAAATAGTATCTATTAAACAGACTTTCTGCTGCCAGTTGCTGGCAATGAACAGAATTCCTACATTTTAGTAGTTGTTGTTCTGGCACATAGAGTCCTTAGGGCAGGTAATGCTGATGTCTGTCAACACGTCAGCGTCAGTATATTCCTCAAATTCCTACCAGAACAGAACACTTTTAATCTTGAGTTTTCTCCATCTTTCATCCCAGTCGCAAAGTATTCTCTGCATCATTTCAAAATGTTCCAGACTGTTCCTTGTACCAGCAGAATTGTAATGTTATTAGAATCCACACATTTCAAGTTAAAGAAACATCACGTATTACATAGAAAACCAAAATTTATTTTGTTTAAAGCAGTTGCAGGGGTCATGAAGAGTTAGAAAAGAAAAAGAAAAGAAAAACCCTAACTTTGAGACCGAACTAAATTTCCGAGACAGCTTGGTGAAGGATCAATAGGACATGATTCCCTCTGATACTCCTGCAGGGGAGCAGCAAGAAGAAGAAGAAGCCACCCTCCCCAGAGTTCCAAAGCGACCCTCCCATCCTGAAGACCCTGGGCTCCGGCCCTGTCAGCCTTCGAAGCCTGCTGGCCGGAGAGTCGCTGTTGACAACCGTCTGTGACTTTGGCGTTCTGATCACGGAGCTGAGGCCTCAGCTCTCCGCCCTGAAAGAGAAGGTACCTGGGGGCAGAGGCCCTTGTGTTCAAACTCCCCACCCACCCCCAAAAAAACCCCACGTTCTTTTGCCGCCCCAAAGGCAAATCAGCTCAGTCCGTGTGGTGAGTACGTCCAGTTGGGAGAGGCCTCAACAGTACGGGCAGCTGGGCTTGGGCCCAGACACCACGTTGGATTGAGTCGTTTCCTCAGACGCTGCCACCAGGCCTGTATTTACCCACAGACCCGGAAGGAGCCGTGGGCAAAGATGGCTGCCTCGCTGAGGTTAAAAAAAAAAAGCGTCCAGTTGAAGCCATCACTGCAGAGAACTACAGAAGCACGGCCAGTACCACGAGGCTTTTTGTGTGGCCCGTCGAGAGCAGTGGTGGCCTGTGGCTTAGGGATCCAGAACCCAAAAAGGGTAAGTCAAACCAGAACAGAGGGCCAACAATAAAAACTTAATTTGTATAGTATAAAAAGATACATGTGTTTATTAACAAAGAATTAAAAAGCATATAAGGGCCCAATCACACCTCATGTAAAAATGCCAAAATTAAGCACAAAAGGGCCAGTGGACTTGACCTGACACGTTTCGGCCTGTATAGGCCTTCAGAGGTCAGACATAATGAGGAGCATATTGGCTTATATCATACAATCATACAATTATGTAACATAAATACAAGATGGACCAGAAAAGAATTGCTGTAAAAATAGAACAATGTGGAATTAAATACATATAATAAAATGAATAAATAAATGATACCTATATTCTACTAAAAAACATTGACTTACTTCCAAAGTGAAACCGCCAGGCACAGAATAATAGTCTAAATGAGGCCTCTAAAGATGCAATCACGTGCCAAATGACGTTTCACTGATAATAATTCAGAAACAAAAAAAAAAATGTATAAACCAATGCATTCTACAATATTGAAACTTAATTCAAAAAAGTAATTAATAAATAAGATTATTTTGTTACCTCTGGTCCAGAAAGTTCCTTCCAATGATTGTCCCGTCAAAGCGTCCTCAGTAAAGTTGTTTTTATCGTTGGCCCTCTATTCTGTTTAACTTACCTTTTTAGGTTCTGGATCCCGGGTTTCAGGGTTAAGTTCCCCACCCACCCATTTTTTGGGTCCCTTGTCTGTGGTTCGGGATGCCAGCCTCCAGGTGGGACCTGGGGATCCCATGGAATTACAGCTCACCTCCAGACTACTGAGACCAGCTCCCCTGGAGAAAATGGCTGCTCTGGAGGGAGGACTCTTTGACGTTGTACTCCACTGAGGTCCCTGTCCTCGCCAGGTTCCACCCCCTAAATCTCTAGGGGTTTCCCAATCTGGATCTGGCAACCCGAATTGTGGCGCTGTGACCCCAAGGAGCACCCCTCTGGCCTGGGAGAGGGGGTGCCTTTGAGGCTCCACCTTCACCAACTGCTTGTTGCCCACAAACATGGGGCTTGCTTGTTGTGTCCCCTAAAGGATCCCTGTCCTGGATCTCTTATTGCCGGCAGGCCTCAGAACGAGAGAGCCGGGCCGCCTCAATAAGAAGCAGATCATAGGGTTGCCGCTTTCCAGGTGGGAGCCGGAGGCCTCCCAGAATTAAAGCTGAGCTCCAGATGACAGAGGTCCGTTCCCTTGGAGAAAATGGCTGCTTTGGCGGGTGGCGTCTAGGGCACTGGGCTCCACTGAGGTCCTCTGAGGTCTACAGCCAGTTTGGTGTCGTGGTGAAGTGCGCGGACTCTAATCTGGGAGGACCGAGTTTGATTCCCCACTCCTCCACTTGCACCTGGCTGGATGACCTTGGGCAAGCCGTAGTTCTGATAAGAGCTTTCCTTGAAAAAGAGCCGTTTCTGTCAGAGCTCTCTCAGCCCCAACGACCTCACAGGATGTCTGTTGTGGGGAGGGGAAGGGAAAGGAGTTTGTGAGCCGCTCTGAGACACCTTTGGGTAGTGAAGGGTGGGGGAGAAATCCAATCTCTTCTCTCCTTCCTCCTCCAATGCTTCCTCTAAGCTGTGGAGTCCTGTGAGCAAAAATTCTACTTTGTGAGCTACTGGCATTAAAACTGTGAGCGAGCGATTTGGCTGCTGCATCAATCAGTTTGCTCTGGAGCCACATCCTTCCTGAGCGAAGACAAAAATCTGTGAGCTGGAGGCTGAAAAACGGTGAACTAGCTCACGCTAACTCAGCTTAGAGGGAACACTCCCCAAACTCCGCCCTCCCCAAGCCCCAAGCCCAAATCTCCAGGAATCTTTGAGTCCAGAGTTGGCAAACCTAGGGCACAGAAGACTCAACCAGTGTTCCCTCTAAGCTGAGTTAGTGTGAGCTAGCCCAGTTTTCTAGCCTCCGGCTTACACGTTTTTGCTTTAGCTCAGGAAGGGATGGCTCCAGAGCAAACTAATCTATGCAGCAGCCAAATCGCTCCCTCACAAAACTTTCATGCCAGTAGCTCACAAAGTGGAAATTTTGCTCACAAGACTCTGCAGCTTAGAGTGGTGATGGCAAACCTTTTAGAGACTGAGTGCCCAAACTGCGACCCAAAACCCACATTTATCGCAAAGTGCCAACACGGCAATTTAACCTGAATACTGAGGTTTTACTTTAGAAAAAACAATTCCTACATTAACTTAAGATGATCCAAACAAGGTAAGGAAAGCAATCCCAAATGCTTTCATTTACTAAAAATTATTTGGCAGAGAATTCGACACTTTAACGATGGTCTGGGCCTGGCTGGGGCAATGGCACGCGTGCCCACAGAGAGGGCTCTGAGTGCCACCTCTGGCACCCGTGCCATAGGTTCGCCACCACTGGCTTAGAGGGAGCACTGGACTCAACATCAACTTGCTGTTGGGGGTGGAGGTGGAATCTGTGTTTTCGTACCTTGCTGCTGCTCCAGAGTTCAAAAAGGTGGTTCCAAAGAGTCTGTGTGCAACCACAGCCCTTTGTCCCTTTCTTTTGCAATGGAGCTCTCACCTGCCCTGAAAAGTGTCTTGCTTTTTGCCCTCCCCCCTTTTCCCTTTTGCAGGATGGTAAGAAGGGCAAAAATAAAGATAAGAAACCCAAAGGTGGAACGGAGAGCGCAGCGATCCGGAAGACCGCGTCGTCTGCCAAAGGTAATGGAGACGGCCCGTTCATGACATTTCTCCCTTTTGATTTTAAAGACAGCCGGTCCAGCTTTTGATCAGATGTTCCATGGGGTAGCTAAGAAACAGCAGATGAAACACAGCGCGGAAGCAGGCAGAACTGTTGGGGAAGTGCGGGCTTATTTACATACCTTCATAGCCTGCCGTTTGGAGGCTGCGGCTATGCAAAACAGAAGCTGCCTGCACCTTGGCAAGCATTTTGCGTCCTTCGTGTGTGCTGGTGGATCCTAAGAGGCGACCCTGGATCCATGGCCAAGTATAGGCTGCTTGTTGTGACAGGTGTATCCTAGAGGCTAAGAAAGTCTGGGCAGGCCCTGGCTCCTGTCTCAGCTCTGCAACAAATTGAGTAGGTGACATTAGACAGGTGCTTGAGCTGGTCTTGCCCAGCTGGGGTGCAATGCTCCCTCTAAGCTGTGGAGTCTTGTGAGCAAAAATCGTACTTTGTGAGCTACTGGCATTAAAGTGGTGAGCGAGCGATTTGGCTGCTGCATAAATTAGTTTGCGCTGGAGCCCTCCTTCCTGAGCGAAGAGAAAAATGTGTGAGCCAGGGGCTATAAAACTGTGAGCTAGCTCACACCAGCTGAGCTTAGAGGGGACACTGCAAGTTGGATGCTATCGGAAAGCAGTCCCCCCCCCCCACTCCCCCAAAGCATCATGGTGCTTTCATGCAACTCCTGGTTTTCCCCAGGCTTTTCTGTATTTTTTTCTTAAGAACATCAGAAGAGCCCTGCTGGATCAGACCACTGGTCCATCTAGTCCAGCATCCCGTTTCGCAGTTATAAAGGGAAATGTACAGTCTGCACCTTTGCCCAAATGACTGCAACTAAAAGGGCTAGAGGCCAGTGCTCTCTCTAAGCTGAGTTAGTGTGAACGACCACAGTTTTTTAGTCTCCGGCTCACACATTTTTGTCTTAGCTCAGGAAGGGTGGCTCCGGAGCAAACTAATTTATGCAGTAGCCAAATCACTGGCTCACAACTTTAATGCCAGGAGCTCACAAAGTAGAATTTTTGCTCACAAGACTCCACAACTTAGAGCAGGGGTGTCAAACATGCAGCCCGGGGGCCGGATCAGGCCCCCATAGGGCTTCCATCAGGCCCACACTGGAACTGGCCATCTCCTCCTCCTCCTCCCCTCTCCCCCATACTGGGGACTCAAAAGCCCCTTGGCAAGGTACATACAAACAACAAAACATACAGCCCTACAGATCCTTCCCAATCAAACTCAGAAGTAGTGATCGAATACATCTCATTATTCTTTGTTTAAAATATCAGCCTGGTAAACTTGTGTTTTGCAGACACAAAAGGGTCCACAGAAAGGAGGAAACATCTGTGGTTCTTCCTCCTCCTTGCAGTTTTTCTCCCTCCACCACTTTCTCACATGTCACATGTTTATTTGTAGACTGAGGTCCCGGCAGGTTCAGTCACGTGACTTTCCAGTTCCTTTTAATGCGGTGGATGAATAATGCATGCAGGAACATCCGCACTTCCCCCCAAAGTGATTCACTGTAAAAAGTGACCCTTCCGTGTGTAGCCCAGAGAGGGACGGCTCTTTTGTCTCTCAGCACGAATGCCCTCTGACTATTGGATCCCACGGCCACCTCTCCCCTGACTTTGCATTCTCGCAATGGAGCGGCCTCCCGGATCGGTTTCCCAGCTCCGTCCCTTTGGCCAGTCAGTAAAAAGAATCTCTGCCTCCAGAGTAAACACCGCAATCCGCTCCGGAGAAACCCAGAAGCGATCGGCCCTGATCAAATACACAGCATCCGCCCATGTTGGCCAATAAGAGAATATTCCCCACCTGACCGGTGTCATGCAAATGGATGGCTTGGAGGCACCTTGCTGTGCTTGGCACAGGCTTGGAGAGGGAAAGTCAACAGCTGCCTGCAAAGGGCAAACATATTTTACATTTCGCAGCATGGGTGTGCTGTGTGAAAGAAAGGAGCCGTGCCACACGCCATCAGTGTCCCCCTGGCTCAGCGTGATTTATCCTGTCAACTTGCAAATCAGAGCTGACAGAGAAGCGGGATGACTGCCTGTGGACTCACCCGTTGCTGCTTTGCCTGCCAAGTCAGCACAGCAGAAATGGGGCTTCCGTGTGTTGAGTTTCTTTGCCTTTTCTCTGCCCTGGTTCCCTTCCACAGCCATTCCTCCCCCCACACCAAATAGCTTTTTAAACAACTGCGTGAGCATTATGGATTGACTCAACAGAGGAAGCCAAAAAAGGCCCTCCGTCGGCAAGACCTGAGGAAGGCTGCTAATGATACAGTGTCTTGGAGGTCATTCATTCATAGGGTGGCCATAAAATCGGAAGCGACTTGGCAGCCCTTAACAAACACACACAGGTTCGTGCATTATAACATTATAATGATCTGTTGCAACAGGAAGAATGGCGCAGGCAAGCCCGATCTTGTCACATCTCGGAAGCTAAGCAGGGTCGACTCTGGCAAGTCCTTGGATGGGAGACCTCCTTGGAATGCCAGAGGTGGGAGGTGGGGGCAGGCTTTATTCAGCCACCTCTCTGAATATCCTCCAGACACTTGGCAAGTTCCAGGAGAGGTGTTAGTGGGCCCCACGGTCCATGGGCACCATGTTGGGGGGGGACGAGACATAAAAGTATGAAGGGAAAGACAGGAAGGAAAAGAGTGATCTATTTTGATATTCTTTGGGGGTCTGTTTGGACAGCCAGTGCATAGGACAGCCAGTGCACACATTGATGGGGTCTGAACTGGCAGAGACTGAGCAAGAGAGAGATCTTGGAGTTGTAGTGGATAACTCACTGAAAATGTCGAGACAGTGTGTGACTGCAATAAAGAAGGCCAATGCTATGCTGGGGATTATTAGGAAGGGTATTGAAAACAGATCAGCCAATATAATAATGCCCCTATATAAATCAATGGTGAGACCTCATTTGGAATACTGTGTGCAGTTCTGGGCACCACACCTTAAAAAAGATATTATAGCTTTGGAAAAAGTGCAGAAAAGGGCAACTCGAATGATAAAAGGGTTGGAACACTTTCCCTATGAGGAAAGGTTAAAGCGCTTAGGGCTCTTTAGCTTGGAGAAAAGACGACTGAGGGGTGACATGATCGAGGTTTATAAGATTATGCATGGGAAAGAGCAGGTAGAGAAAGAGGTACTTTTCTCCCTTTCTCACAATACAAGAACTCGTGGGCACTCCATGAAACTGCAGAGCGGTCGGGTTAGAACGGATAAAAGGAAGTACTTCTTCACCCAAAGAGTGATTAACACATGGAATTCACTGCCACAGGAAGTGGTGGGTGCTACAAGCATGGATGGCTTCAAAAGGGAATTAGATAAGCATATGGAGCAGAGGTCCATCAGTGGCTATTAGCCACAAGGTATAGCTAGGGGCTCTGGGGCAAGTGATGCTCTGTCTTCTTGGTGCTTGGGGGGGGTCAACAGTGGGAGGGCTTCTAATGTCCTGGCCCCACTGCTGGACCTCCTGATGGCACTGGTATTTCTGGCCACTGTGTGACACAGAGTGTTGGACTGGATGGGCCTTTGGCCTGATCCAACATTGGCGTCTCTGATGTTCTGATGATGATGTTAGGAGGATTAAGAAGAAGAAGATGATATTGGATTTATATCCCGCCCTTCACTACCCGAAGGTGTCTCAGAGCGGCTCACAAACTCCTTTCCCTCCCCCTCCCCACAACAGACACCCTGTGAGGTAGGTGGGGCTGAGAGAGCTTTGACAGAAACGGCTCCTTTTCAAGGACAGCTCTGAGAGAGCTACGGCTTGCCCAAGGTCATCCAGCAGCTGCAAGTGGAGGAGTGGGGAATCAAACCCGGTTCTCCCAGATCAGAGTCTGTGCACTTAACCACTACACCAAACTGGCTCTTAAGAGAAGTGATGGGACTTTCTTTCTTTCTTTCTTTCTTTCTGAAAAGTATGCAAACGGAGAGTGATTTCAGCAAAGCGTACTTTATTCTATCCGGAACAAGACGACTTTGGCCGGCTTGCAGGCCGGCTTATATCCCCCGAGAAACCGCCACTCAAAACACACTCCTACTTCCCTATAGGTTATTTACAGTGACTGAGAGTCCCATAGGCTCTCAGCCGGGAACCTAGCCCCCTGATTGGAGCGGGCTAGGATCCGCATAGTCCGTTGTCTCTTGGAGCGAAGCTCGATGTTTGTCTCTGGACTTGTCTGGACTGGATACATTACACTTTCTTTCTTTCTTTCCAGGGAAAGGAAGAAAACAGGAGTCTCCTAGAGGGGCAGACGTTCAAGCAATCCAGCCAGTGCCTCTGACTGTGGAATTCCAAATCCAGCACCTTAAGTGGAAGTCGGCATCACAGATCTTAATCAAGCCCAAAGTATCCACATAAGTTGTGTTGTGAGCAGCGCAGATTTGACTGACCGCAGGAGCACCAGAGGTGACAGGAGGGGGTGCAAGTCCTCACGACCTCAGTGGTCTTGCCTTGGGGGGGGGGCTAAGAAGCTTGTCGGGGGGTCTATTTGGGGGTCCCCAATGTAATGATGCATTTTGGCCCCGAGATGGTGTCTGTTGGGAAGGGGCTCTCTTTTAAAGAGGTTGGTTTGTGTACACTCTGTTGCTCTCTTGGCCTTTCAGTTTGCTCTCTCATTTTTGCTGGCAACCAAAATTTTGGCTTTTGACTGGGAGTCTAATTAGCCGACAGCTGAGCTTTGCGTCTGCAGAACAAAACCCACAACTTGAAAGCTGAAGGCCTGGACAGACAAGACGGTGTGTGGCCACATTCTTTGTTACTTCTTGCTGGCTTGAAGAAGAGCCCGGTGTAACTCAAAAGCCTGCCGCAACGAATAAAGGACCATTTTGAGCAACCCAGTGAAAGTATCGTCTCAGATCTCCGGCAAGCAGCAGAACAAATTCAAGGGCTCTGCGGCAGTTTCTTGCTCTGATTTTGAGGGAGATGTTGGCGTTTCCTCTTCCCTTGCAATTATTTCGTAGTGAAATATCCGCGTAATCGACTTGGAGCCATACTTGTCCATAGGGCTCTTTTTGTAGAAAAAGTCCAGCAGGAACTCATTAGCATAATAGGCCACACCCAACACCAGCAACTCATTAGCATATTAGGCCACACCCCTGCCAGCACAGCTCATTAGCACATTAGGACGCACCCCCATGTTGCCAGAAGGGTGGTCATCCAGCCACACCCACCTTTTGCTTCTTATTCTGTTTACCTTGTTTGTCCAGGGCTTTTTTTGTAGCAGGGACTCCTTTGCATGTTAGGCCACACACCCCTAATGTAGCCAATCCTAATGAGTTTCTGCTGTTGGGTGTGGCCTATTATGCTAATGAGTTCCTGCTGGGCGTGGCCAACTTGGGGGCCAGCCGGAACGCCGTTCCTGTGCGTTCCTGCCCAAAAAGTAGCCCTGCTTGTCCATAACCAGGTCCTGTCCTGAACAGCTCAGTGCAGACAGCAAAGCCACATTTCAAACCCTTATGTAGAAGAAGAAGAAGATATTTGATTTATACCCCTCCCTTCACTTGGAGTCTCAGAGCGGCTCATATCCCTTTCCCTCCCCACAACAGACACCCTGTGAGCAATGCTCCCTCGAAGCTGTGGAGTCTCGTGAGCAAAAATTCTACCTTGTGAGCTCCTGGCATTAAAGTTGTGAGTGAGCAATTGGGCTGCTGCATCAAGTAGTTTGCTCTGGCGCCCTCTTTCCTGAGCGAAGGCAAAAATGTGTGAGCCGGAGGCTAACAAACTGTGAGCTGGCTCACGCTAACTCAGCTTAGAGGGAACACTGCCTGTGAGGTAGGTGGGGCTGAGAGAGCTCTGACAGAAACTGCTCCTGAGAGGAAAAGAAGAGATTGGATTCATACCCCGCCCTTCACTACCCGAAGGAATCTCAGAGCGGCTTACAAACTCCTTTCCCTTCCCTTCCCCACAACAGACACCCTGGGAGGTGGGTGGGGCTGAGAGAGCTCTTTCGAGGATTGCTCTTTCAATGTCAGGACCCACAGCAAAATAACGAAGTACACGCTTCCAGGAAAGTTTTACTTTTATTGAAAAGCCATAGATGCAATAACACGAACACTGTTAGGAATGGCGGGCTACCTATGCGCATAATAGGATATAGGGCATTTGTATGCGCCCCCCCCCTAGCAATACCCAATTAGATGGGCTCCCGTTCGCGGGAGACGGGAAGAATTTCTAACGGTAGCAAAGCTGGGAACCAGAACGATCCCACGAAAGATAGACACCACACTCCTCCAGTAACTCTTTACAGATAAGCGTTGCAGCTGGGAAGCAATTAAGCGCATAGGAAGGAATGCATAACAATTAGAACGTCTCTCCCTACTCATGGCAGCTTAGCTGACAGAATAGCTCTGACAGAACAATGGCTTGCCCAAGGTCATCCAGCAGCTGCAAGTGGAGGAGTGGGGAATCAGACCCAGTAGTGGCAGGCATGTAGCTACAGTGGGGCATTTGGGGGCCCACCCCCCAACTTCCTGCCAAGGCCCCACTACTTCCTTTCACCCCCCCGACTCTCTGACAAGATGCGGCACCGCCACAAACTCCCCCTGCACCAGTGGGGCCACCAGTTTTCCTTGCCTTCCCCCTTTCTCTGGGCCAGCCCCCCGCCCCCTTGACCCGGTGTGACTCTATCCCAGCTCGGAGGCCAGGGAGCAGTCTGAGGGCTTGAAGCTGCAGAGAGAGCGCTCTTTTTATGCACCCTGGCCCACCACGGTCCAGGAAGCGGTGGTCTGACTGAGCCCCCTCCCAGCCTAGTCCCCATGGCCACCTGCAGACTCTTCCCTTCCCTTCTCTCCCCACCCCCGGCCTCCCCCTCCTCCCTGCAGCAACCTCTGGAAGAGAAGAAGAGATTGGATTTATGCCCCGCCCTTCACTACCCAAGGGAGTCTCAGGGTGCGTTCAGACGGGGCATTTGAGCCGGTATACGAGCTGGTTAGAAACGGAGTACTTACGCGCAATCACACTCACAACATCTGCCTCCCGTCCCTAACCGTGGCCAACCGTCGCAAACAGCCCTTAAACTGGTTTAGTTTGCTACCAGGTCCCCAAGTGGTATTTTCCCGAGTGCTCCGGTTCTCGCCACATTTTCCGCGTCTGATCGCTCTCCACCGGTGTAGAGCCACTTCCGTTCGGAAGCCCGAGGCTTCCGCTTTTCATCCTCCATTTTTTTAAAATCGTAGGCGATGTGCGCTTGGGTGAAGCTTCGCCCTGGCGTTAGTAAAAGCAAACTTTAAACAGTGCCCAGTTTCAGCCCTCAGACAAGTCCGGGACCTCACCGAGGCCAGTTTCGATGTCAAAGTTTAAAGGGAAGTCTTTGCTTCAGGGCATGCTTTTCGGGCTACGGTGTTATGCGCATGCGCGAAGAGCTCAATTATATGAAAGATTGCATCTGCGTATGCACAAACTGTAGAAATAATTTTAAAACCCGCCGACGCGCGCTGCTGAGTGCCCGAAGTGTGGACACCAGGGAGCGATGTGCTGTGCAGTGAGAGGTGAGTGTGATTGCGCTTCCCCGGATCAAATTCATGCAGTTGGAACCAGAGTGGTTTACACCACTCCCAGCCCGCCGTCTGACTGCACCCTCAGAGTGGCTGACAAACTCCCTTCCCTTCCCCGCCCCATAACAGACACCCTGTGAGGTAGGTGGGGCTGAGAGAACTCTGACAGAACTGTGGCTTGCCCAAGGTCATCCAGCCAGGTGCAAGTGGAGGAGTGGGGAATCAAACCCAGTTCTCCCAGATTAGAGTCCGCGCACTTAACCACAACACCAAACTGGCGCTGGAGCATCTTTTCTGCATTGGGGGAAGGTGAGCGGGCAGGCTGGCCGCTGGGGTGAGTAGGGGGTAGTGCCAGGGAGGAGGCACAAGGTGCCCAAGTGGAGGGCAGGCGGAGCTGATGGATGGCCAGGTGGAGGGCACCGCCACCCTTACCCCTGAGAAGCTGGTAATTAAATTACTTTGGATCGAATTAGCCAGTGCCCCCCAAGGGATTAAAATGCTCCCCGTTTTAGAAATTCCTGGCTATGAGCCTTGGTAATGGTAGACTGGGATCTGGGAGGGAGACCCTGGTTCAAATCCCCACTTGTGCCCTGGAAGCTCGCTGGGTGACTTCGGGTTGGTCACATGCTCTCTGCCCAGCCTTCCCCACAGGGTAGTTGAGAGGATGCAGTGGAGGAAGCTGCAAGCTGCTTTAGGTCCCCATTGGGGAGGTGGGCAGGGTGCAAATGAAGTACAACAAATTCTGCTGCGTGGAACGGGTCACTGGGGTGTTTGTGGAGGGGAGGTATGTGTGAATGTCCTGCATTGTGCAAGGGGCTGGACTAGATGGCCTTGGAGGTCCCTTCCAACGCTATGATTCTGTGGTGGCTGCCTTAGTTGCCTGTTGGGGGGTGGGTTGGCCCAGCGACGCCCTTTGACAGGGACCCACCAGTGAAACAAACTGGTAACCAGAGGATTTAGAGCAAAGGGTTTTCAAGGCAAGAGCTGATGGGGGTGGTTTCCCATCGCCTGCCTCTGTAGCAACCCTGCGAATGCTGCAGGGGAAAGGACTCCACGATCTCATTCACAAAGAAGCCAGCACCTCTCCTGTATCCTCCCCACCCCCCACAGGCTGAGGAAAGTGATGCCGGTAGAGTTGCCAGCCTCCCGGTGGGGTCTGGAGATCTCCCGCTTTTACAAGTGGTCTCCAGCCGACAAGAGATCAGCTCCCCTGGAGGAAATGGCTGCTTCGGAGGGTGGACTCTCGGGCATCGGACCCCGCTGAGGCCCCTCCCCTCCCCACACCCCGCCCTCTCCGGGCTCCACCGCCCAAAGTCTCCAGGTATTTCCCCACCCAGACCTGGCAACCCTAGATGCCGGCTTTGCGGCCGGCTGGTTTTTTTTTCGGCGGGGAGGGTCTCCTTTTGCTCCACCGTCCCTCCGCCGCCCGCCTGCAGGCCCATGGCGCCCCCGGCCCGGGCCCTACTGCCGCGCGCCCTCCTGGCCGGCCTGCCTGCCTGCCGCGCGGCTCGTGCGCCTCTGGCCGGCGGCTCCCGGGGGAAGGCTGGTGGGCTGGGCCGCGCCGCCGGCGAGGAGGAGGAGGAGGAGGAGGGAGGCGGGGTCGGCGAGGAGGGGCGGCTGCTGCTGCTGCTGCTGCTGCCCGGCGCTGGCAGGCAGACGGCGCCGGCGGGGCAGGGCAGGCGAGCGGAGGAGCGGAGCGCCCCTGGAGAGGCGGAGAAGGTAGTCCGAGCCGATTGGGGGCGTGCGGGTAGGAAGAACCCCCGGGGGGGGAACGAGAAGGGACCGGCCGTTTTCGGGTTACCAACATCCAGGCGGGGCCTGGAGACCTCCCGGAATCCCAGCTGGTCTCCGGACCGGAGGGAAATG